GGTGGAGGCAGCCAAGCCCAGGGTGGCCAGTCTAGGAACACCCAGACCCGGAGTGGCCGGGCCTGGAGAAGCCGGGCCCAGAGCAGCCGGGGTGGGAGCAGCCAGACCCAGAACAGCAGTAGCCAAGCCCAGAGCATCCAGGCCGGGAGTGTCCAGGCTCGGAGCAGCTGGGCCCGGAGCAGCCGGATCGGATGCAGCCAGGCCCGGAGCAGTGGCTGCCAGGCTGGGAGCAACCAGGCCCAGAGCAGCAGCAGCCAAGTCCAGAGCAACTAGGTCGGGAGCGGCAGTGACCAGACCCGGAGCAGCTGGTTGTGGAACGAACCAGAGCAACAGAGGCCAGGCCCTGAGCATCCAGGCCCGGAATAGCTAACTCCTTGCCTGCCCCTGCCCCACGGCTGCCTCTCAGACATGGCTGGAAACTTTCGCAGGAACTTGAGGGTCTGCTGAATCAAGTGATGAAGGCTTAGATTTGGATGTGTTAAGTTAGTATAGGGCTGGGGTGTTGATCTGTGAGTGCCTTGGGTGGGGCCTGGATGAGGCTAGTTGACCTATTGGGAAATGTCTTTTGTGTGAAGTGTATCATTGGGCATGTGGAGGTATTATTGATATGAGAAAATGCTAAGTAACTGATTTACTATCTGAAAAGGGATTTACTATTGGGGAAAGGGAGGGAAGAAGAGACTGAACATAAACTGTGCACCTATGGATGAGGACAATGGGGGATGGGGAGGGGGCGGCGGGTGGGGTGGGAACCTGGTGGAGGGGGGAAGAAATGAGGAACCTTTGTAATAATATGAACAATAAAGATTGATTTAAAAAAAAGAAAAGAAAAAGAAAGGGAGGGAGGAAGAGAAGGGAGATAAGGAGGGAGGAAAGGAGGTCTTAGAATGTTCTGAAAATCAAAAGTTGAATTTGCCACATTACACTGAATCCACAAGAATGAAATGATGTGTAGGCATACCCAAGGTGGCCTGTTTGCAAATATAGTTTATGTGCCAGTCCTACACCATTTTTTCTGTGGGACTTGAGCATTCTCAGATTTTGCAGTCCTCAGGGGTCGTGGACCCAGTCCTCCTGCAGGAGCAGAGGGAGGACTATGTTGTCAAGTTGCTCTCCAGTGGCTGTACCACTCCCTTCCCCGAGGACTGTGTGAGTTCTCAGTTCTCATCCTCACCAAACATTACTTACTGACATGTTGTATATTGTTATATTTAACATTAATCATTTTATATTGTATTTCCCTAAAAATGGCTGAGAACAAACATGTTTTCATGTATTTGTTGGCCACTTGAGTTTCCTCTACTGGAATTGACATTTTGTCTTCTTTTTAAATTGGGTTGATTGTCTTTTTCTTATAAGTGAACAGAGTATACACTACCTTTGTAGACTAAAGAAATTCTGAGTACCTTTTCCTAGACTCTTACTTGTCTTTTTACTTTATTTATGGTAATGTTTGACATACTGTAGCTTTTAAATTATAAAGTACATAAAAGCATGATTTCTTTTTTAGTTTGTGCTTTCTGTGTTTTATTTAAAAATCCTTCCCCAACCCATTGCCAAGAAGATGTTTCTCCTGTTTTGTGCAGAAACATTTAGGAAAGGAAAGGAAACATTTAGGAAAGTTTTGTAAATTACGCTGTATTTGTGTCCCTGATCCATTGGGAGTTGACCTGTATGGTGTCAGGTTTTTATCCTTATGTATAGCTCGTGTATTCTTTTCCCTCTGGTTTACCCATTTCTGCTGTATACCAAGAGCCCTTGTATTTAAGAGTCTGCTTCTGTTTTCTTCCCCTTTAGGTCTATTTGAGTAGCTCTACAGAGAGCCCACACTATTTTAAGTACTTAAACTTTATAGCGTATCTTGAAATCTAATAGGGCTTATTATGCTTCTTTAAACTTAACTTGGCTCTTTTATATCCTTTATTTCTTATTTTTAAATATTTTTATTGTAGTATGTAATCCATACCAAAATGTTCATAAACTACAAGTGTCATGAAACCAAGCAAATCACTATAAAGTGAACACACCATGTAATCCCACACAGGATCAAAGAACTTCCCACTCCCAAGGGCCATCCCTCCCATGGCAACTCTCCTGGAACGTGTAGTTACCTTCATGCTTGACTTCATGGTTTTCCCAATCGATCTATAGTTCAGATCCATTCACTTCAGAGGGGGAATGCAATCTTCATGTGTGGCTTCTTTCTCACAACAGTATGCTTTTAATAATTTAATCTTTAAATATCCCATATGAATTTTAGGATTGGCATTTAAATTCCAATAAAACACCAATAAAAACTCTGTTAATTTTTTTAAATTATATTGAATTTACATATTAATTTGATGAAAATTGGTATTTTAACAATTTTGCTCCTTCCCATTCATGGATGTGATTCTTATATTTATTTCTAGAATAGGGTTGTTTTGTGTGTTTTTAATGTCTCACACGGTTTTATAGTTTTCTCTATGAAGGCCTTACATATTTTTGTTAGATTTATTCCTAAGTATTTTATAGTTGTTGTTATGGAATTTCACCTGTGGAGAGCCCTAGACCTCCCCAGAGCCCTAGACTCTGGGCCTGCTCTACCCTCCTCAGAGGTTTTATGTTCTTGCTGTAGAGGAAACAGAGGGTAGATATGGACTGTGCTGAGTGTGGGGAGGAATTGGGATTGCTTCTTACAGAGTTAAGAACCCTCCACTTTGCTCTGGCCTTCCGTAGTACCTGGTGCCTCTAATGCCTGAGCCTTGTCTGAGTTCCAGGGGATCCTCTTGCTGGCATTTGTATTTACCCTTCTTCCCATATAAGAAGTGGTTTCCAATTACACAATGTGTTTTCCATTTTGTTAATGTGGGTCAGAATTACAGATGCTTTTTAGTTTCATCAAATGTAAAGTTTGTTTCTGTTTTCGATTTCTTTGTTGTTTTGTACCATTTTTTGAGATAAGTGGCATGGATATGATTTGAAACCAAAAGTCCTCTGCAGTCACTCTTTAGAGTACTCCAGTGTGTCCTCTGCTCCCACCACTGCACCAAAAGTGTTCTAACAAGGTCATCAAAGCTTCCATTTTGCCAAATGCAATGGTCCTTTTCCTCTCTGTCTCACTTGAACTCTGAGCTGCATTAAACATAGATAATTAATAAAATATATTTAAAAAAAAAAAAAAAAAAAAGCCGAAACCGGTTTGGCTCAATGGATAGAGCTTGGGGATTGAAGGGTCCCGGGTTCGATTCCGGTCAGGGGCATGTACATTGGTTGCAGGCATATCCCCAGTAGGGGGTGTGCAAGAGGCAGCTGATCGATGACTCGCTCTCATCGATGTTTCTAACTCTCTCTCTCCCTTCCTCTCTGTAAAAAATCAATAAAATATTTTTTTAAATAAATAAATAAATAAACATAGAGAACTAGTATTCCCATCTTAAAACACTGTTCTTTTAGTTTCATTGATACTAAACTTTCCTAGTTTTCCTTCTGTTTCTTCTTAGGTTCTTTACTGGCTTCTCCTACTTTGTTCATCCCCAAAATATTGGTGTACCCTGGATTCAAGGTGAAGTCCTCTCTTCTTTTTCCTTTTTCAGTCGTCACCTGAGGATATGTTTTTATTGATTTAGAAAGAGAGAAATAAAGAGAGAGAAACATCAGTGGGGGGCCCATACACACTCCGACCAGGGATCAAATCTGCAACCTAGGCATGTGCCTTAACTAGGAATAGAACGTGTAACCTTTTGATATATGCACAATGTTCCAACCAACTAAACCACTTAGCCAGGGCTTCTTTTCTCTTCTGTTATAGGTTCTCATTGCTTTTAATGCCATCAGATACCAGTGACTCCCAAATTTTTCTCTTGAGTTCCAGATTTGTATATTCAGCTACTCATTTGATATCTCCACTAAGATTTCTAATAAATTATTTGAAACTCATTCCTGTATTGCATTTATTGTTTTGTTGACTGAAATGGTCTTCTTCCAATTCTTCAAATGACTGTTACCCCATTATCCTTAGAACTCCACTCAAATGTCACTTCCTCTGAAGCTTTGCTGACCACCCTACCTAAAGAAAGTCCTTGCTCCAAGTCACTTTCTTCTCTTTTCTACATAGAGCTTGCTTGGAATTGTTTTGTGTATTTGCTTGTTTACTTTCTGTCCTCCATATTGACTACTATTAACTCTATAACATTTGGACCTTGATCTTGTCTTTAGCTGTATTCTAAGTATCTAGAACAATGCCTGGTGTATTGCAAATGTTCAATAAATTCTTTCCTAATTAATTAATTTTATTACTAAAACATTAAAATGTACTTTTCTCTAGACAGTTGTCGAGTATGCTCTAATTTGGTATGAATAACTTCTTATCTAAGAATCAAATTTACAAAATTGAAGATTTTACAAAGGAATAGCCATACTCTCATTTTCACCTAGAAAACCATAGACCATCTTTAGACTTCTTTTGCCACATATATTACCTTAAAGATGAAAGTAGATTTGTTTGCAAATAGGATTGTTAATTGCTAACTATTGGCAAGGATTTTTAAAGATCAACAGAAAATTGTATTAAAACACTATGTATTTTACATTGCCTTTATTTTCTGATAAGTTTATTATATGGCTAGGTCACTTCACTGATCATCAAAGTTGTTTTCTGCCAATATCTCACTCTGATGGCCATATGCCAATAAGAGTAACCACAGAGTTAGTGTGAAAGTATTTTGATAATCAGATCTTTTGTGGCTTTTTAAAAAATGAAAACATTGTTTTAAAAACATTTCACCTGTACTGTGAGTATTAAATAAATAAATAAATAAACTTGTTTACTGAGCAAATGAAATTATTTGTTATTTGTACAGCTATTCTGCAACTTGGAAGGAGTTTTGGTTATCACCCAACTGCTAAAATGAAGAAAAATACCATCTTTGGAGTATTTTGTGGTTATTGATTTCTATGTTAAATGTGTTCTTTCAATTTTTATTGCACTTAAACAATCCAGTTGGACTTTTTTCTTTTAGATTTCCGGTATCTGCTACAACAGCAAAATACTACAAGTCCATCAAGTGCTGTACATCCCAAGCTGGATGGCAAAGTTCTGTTCTTGGACGCTTGAGCCCATCTTCTCATCTTCAGAACCTACCACCGAAGCCAGAGTCGGGATGGGGGCCACAGTAGACATCCAGAGGCAGCAGAGAATGGAACTGCTCGATCGGCAACTGATGCTTTCGCAGTTTGCACAAGCGAGGCGACAAAGACAGCAGCAGGTAAGCATAATAATAATCATGAAAAATTCAGAAATACTCAATGGCCTAAGTAAACTTCTTCTCTGTGACTGTATGTGTGGTAGAGACTTCATTTTATTCCTGTGCATTGCAGTGTAGGTATTTGACAAGTTTCCAAATAAAATGTAGGTCTCTGTTAGTGCCTATACTTAGTGATGTGTTTGTTATTTTTTAAGGTGAAAGAGTAAATAGAAGCCAAAAGACTGGTCAAACTGGACATTCTTGTTCCGCTTCTATTAGATAAGCACTATTTCTTAGAGAAACACCAACCTAGTTAACAAGACGTGATATTTATCTGTTTTTAAAATCTTGTAAAAGCCACAGTGTCTTCCTGTTAAAATGCTTATTATCATGTGCTCTAGAGTGAAAAGCAAATATAAAACTTCTTAATTTTCTTTGGTTGAAATAGAGAGACTGTGAAGGTAAGAAATTTTTCAAGGGAACAACCCATGAATTAATCAAATAAATTGTCATTAATCAAAGCCTTATCATCAATCATCAGGAAATATTGTGCACTGTCTACAATAAACTGCTATATTCAAGCAATCCAATACCACACTTCCCTTTTAAGGGATATTATTCAGGGTGAGGCAAACATAGTAGGTTAATAGTTGTTTGTATGGGAAATAATACAATAATTAATAAATAATAATATAAGAGTGAATCCTGTGTTTCATGTACTCACAACTGCAAGCCTTCTTTTACCCCACACTCTCTGTCAGACTCAAACTTCAAACCTGATCTTTCTTTGACACTTCTGTGATACAGTATGCTGGGCTCTTTATTTCTGGTCCCTGTCTTGTTTGTCCTTTGGGATATGAGAGAGGATAGTCTTCTCACTTACCATCTCCCTGTCTCCTTCCTTGGGTGTGAGATGTAGGTGGTGGTCTACAGAAGTGAAGTGAGTTGTGACACTCCTGGTGTCCCACTGGAGATGAAGGTCTCAGAGTTCATGTCTGGAGTAGGAAGAAGGGAGTCCCTTATCAATTGGCTGAGTCTACAGGTGAAAGGGAAGTGAAGGTTATTCCCTACAGATGTATTTAAATTTGGTGAATCTGGAACATTACAATAAAGATACCCATGATGTCGTTAAATATGGAGCTCAGTCATCTCTCTTAGGTCAAGGCTGGAGGTGTAGATCATGGAGTCAACTTTGTAGGGTTGAGAGATGAAAGCAAGATGCTAGGTGAGTTTGTAAGAAAATTACATCCAAGGTGAACATAGGCTATAGACTAAGTCTTATATTTAGCAGGAAAAGGTAGATCCTTCAAGGAAACAGAGAAGAATGAAAAGTATGAGAACTTGGAATGATCAGTGTCTGAAAAACTGAGTAGTGTAAGTATAAATATTTTCCAGTTAGAATGAACCTAAAGCTATGAAGGAGAGAACAAAGTACCATATGATTCTTGTTTAGTAGCATAGATTTCTTATTTATTAATAGATAACAGGATAGATCGGTGACAGCACCATTTCACCAACATCAGAAGAGCAGATTTGGGGGAATATACCACTGAGCTACCTTGAGAATATCTGGGAGGAGCGCCCCCTTTAGATAGCTATGGCTCTTGTGCTCATGAACAAGGCAGGAAAGTGGTATTTCTCAGATTGGAGTCCCCAGGCAGAATTTTTATGCATGAAGTTTATAGAGAACACTATCAAGATCGGAGTCTCTGGGGCAGGGGTGGTGAGGACAGAGGTGAAATTTGAACAACAATTACAAAAAGGGCCTGAGATAATTTTATGGAAAGCTGTGGAGTTGGGAGAGCCCCTACAGGTTGTCTCAAATTCAGACAGGAGCTGAAACTAAACCTCCACCAACCAGTCATTGGGTACAGATTGCAGTCCTTGGGCCGACTGGCTCTCCTTGGATGCACACCATCCCCAGGGGGCATGTCCCTTGAGAACTGTGGCATTCTAGCACCCCGAGCAGCAGGAAGACTGAGCACTTCATTTGTGAGGGAGGTGGGGGATCTGGGCAGCAGACCACAGCACTCACCCCATGTGCTTCTCGGATTTTCTTGGTAAGTTCTTGAAGTAGCTCTTCCAAGATTCCAGAGGCACTCTTTCCTGGAGAAAACTGCAAGAGGAAGGTTAATAGGATAAACTACATCCCCTTCTGCCTCAGCAGGTCTCATGATCACACTGATCATCAACTCATTTCTCTACTGTTCAATGGAGAGTCCCCTCACTCTTGGCTGGAAGGCTTAGTTGCTGAAAGTGACACATACCACACATACCCTGTGGGATCTGAGTTTGTGGTCAAAAGGCCCTTCTCTGTCTGGGTCTGCTGCCCTTGTCCAATTACTGTAAAACTGAGCCAGGGATTAAGTAACAACAGACACCCTAGTGTATCATCGGGGTTCCGCACATAGTCTTCCCTCCCTGTTTTTGTGCCCTTAGCCACACCTTTTCTTGATCAGGGTTAATGACTGCTACCAGGATAATGACTTCTTTTCTTACCTGCTGGTATTTGGCACAAGAGACTGAAATAACTGGTTAACAGCTGTAACTTAAAATGTAATGGCATTCTTGCTCTTTCTCCTGATGGAAGGGCTCCCTTCCTGAGGGCCAAGCTCTGTAAACCTAAGGAGCCAGGGGTAAGAAGCCAGATTCCCCAAACAGGGCACTGAGAGAGTGGGTACTCAGGGTCACTTCTCCTTTCAGTCCTTATTTCCAAGACCCGCATGTTCTTACTGTTGGGGACCTAGCAGGGTTTTTAGGGTTTATACTGCATGCTAGAGCCTGGAGTGCCATCTTGTAGGGTCATCTCCAAGTTGGTATTTCTCTGACACATTCAAATGGCTGTCTCACTGGTGTGGCAAGCTGGCAGTTCCTTAGCCATATGGTATGCAAGATAGTTTATATATTCCACAGTCTTGCCAGTGCTGCAGTGATTTCGCTGTAAGAGGGCCTTGTGGTCTGATGTGATTTAGCACCCTGGTCAGTAGAGCAAGCATTCTGCAAACGCACAGATAGTGGTGCTCATTCTCTTTGAGGGATGGTGGTGTACTGGGCTCAGCATTAGTCTCTGTTGCTGTCTGTAGCTAATTTTCCTTAGAGAGTGGGGCCTGTGCAGAGCTTCCGCCACTGCCACCATGGTTCTCTGTTCACTGGGGTGGCCGATGGCTGGCCATTGTCCACCAGCTGAGTAGTTCGTTCCTTCTCTTCTGTACTGCACGTCCATGATAGACATTAACCACTCGTATAGATGTCACGCTTCATGTCCATTCCTTTAGCCAGGTCCACATGCCTCTTCCTCAGGTCCGCCACCTTCCAGTCCCCTGAACAATCAACCAAGTCATTTACCATGTCCAGTGAATCCATATCTGTCATTACCTCAGACTACTTCTCTTTCCACTCAAGTGGATGACCAAATAAATACTCTGTCCATTGGGAGGATTTCCCTCATCACTGTCTTTCAAAATCATCCTGAGTGGAGCTGTAGTGCCGGCCACAGTCAATTTTCAGCTTTCACTTGTCTACTGAGCCAACCCTTCTATGAACCAAATTTGGCCATTTACCTCTCTGTCACTTGGTCACAAGGGCCCCACCCCCTGTGAACTGAGGAAGAGGTTTTGGTGCAACAGAGGTGATTGACATGATAGTCTGGCATACCTCCCTCTGCAGCTCACCTGTGCCACTCCCATCTGAGGATGGATTTCTTTGGGTCCATCTGACCTTGGTAGGACTCATACTTCTGCCCACATGCTTAATTTATGCCCAGGATCAAGCACACCCTGTCCCCAGGATCTAGTAGCAGTTTTTCAAAAGTGTATCATTCTCTGCACACCCCTGCTCCAGGATCTAACTCATGGTTTTCCCCTTATGGCTTGCTGCAAATTCCACAGTGTCTTTCCCCACCACAGACCCTTTGGATACCACAGAATCTGCCTACGTTGTACAGCCCAGTAATCCATGAAATAGAGCAAACAAATCAGACCAAAATCTCTGGAGAGTACATAGGGGTCAGACAACTCTGCAGTGATGCCCTCTGGTCTGTGGCTCTGCCCTCTGCTTGGCAGGCTCCTCCACTTTCCAAGGTGGGTCTTGCCCCAACCAGATCTGGGGTTCAGAATCCTACACCTGGACTGCTTCTTGCCAGAGGCTTTATTGACATTGACTGGTCTACTGTGAGTGAAGAGCACACTGTTTCTTCAGTCCTCCCTCATTTATTCCCAAACATCGGCCTTGAGATATAATAGTTAGTTCCTTTGTGTCCCCAAGGATCGGGGTGCTGGCTTGCCCAGGAATACACACCTGGCGATGGGAGTGCAGGATTGGGACTCAGTGCGTCCCAACCACAAGGCCTCTGCCCCTGATGCTTCATTAGGCTGCCTCCCAGTTAGGAGAGCTCCTTGGTAATTTTCTTTTCTTTCTTTTATTGCTTTGGCTGGCAAAAAACTCAGTATCAAGTTTATTTTAATGTTCAATCAAATTAACGGTTTAACCCAAAGTTAGAACTTCTGTTTCCATCTTCTATATGTTTTTTAAAATATCTCTTTATGTTTTTAATGTTCTTATATCTTTTATTGTAGGCAACCTCAAATTCTGTTATTTGTTTATAAACTGTTGATTTTCAGCCCTGCCTAGTGGATCAGTTGGTTAGAGCGTTGTCCTAGACACAGAAGGTTTGAGATTGAGTCCAGGTCAGGACACATACCTAGGTTTTGGGTTCAATCCCTGGTCAGGTGCATATGGGAGGCAACCAGTTGATCTTTCTCTCTTTCTCTCTTTCTTTCTCTCTCTCTCTCTCTCTCTCTCTCTCTCTCTCTCTCTCTCTCTCTCTCTCTTCTTTCCTCCCTCCCTCCCTCCCATCTTTCTCTCGCTCTTGCCCTTGCTCTTACTCTCTCACTCTCACTCTTGCTGTTCCTCAAGTGAGGATAAAATAATTAATTAATAAATACTGTTGATTTTCAGATGTTTTTCATAGAACCCTGAGACTTTATTTTATAAGAAAGTCTTATAGTTACTATTTACTTACA